AGATATAGGTGCCTGCCTCCATCCTGGACTTAAGCACCTATCTCTGTGAGGGGGCAGAATTAGTACACCTTCCTGTTGTCAGCACCTCCCACTGGCTAGGTTACGCTGGCTTTTCTGGGTTGCAATCTATGGTCCCTATCTCTCCCCATTCATTGTATAGGATCCTAATTCAGGCTTTGTGAATCACAGTGATTCTCCATGTGCCTAAAAGTTAGGTGTTGTGATGTTCAGCCTAATTTCTTTTGTGAATCCAGGCTTCTGGAGCTTGTGTATTGCAACACAAACCCTAGGTGCACATTTCAGGAGTTGTATCATGCATATATACTTGCACCCTATTCTTGAGTGACCCTATGAAAAGAAGTAATTCCAACTAAAGAGCACTTGTCCATCACATCATACCATCAAGAACCTGAACAATATCTGGTGTTTTCATTCTTTTCTTATTCTTGAGGTTAGCTGGTTTCTATCAAGTTGTGGCTTTTTCAGAAATTGCTCTGTTGTGTTAAAAAGCCAAGGCTGACTGATAGCAATGAGCTGGAAAGAGAATGTCATGCTGTATCTTTTCAGTATGGAAATTAACTTCCCAGTATTGATTCCAGTAGGTAGCTAATGTTATAGTCAATTTCTGTTTCAGAACAAGAAGGATTTACCATCTATTACTGAGGCATGATCAAGAATATCACAAACCTAGAGCACCATTAAGGGACAAATCCTTTGAAGCAGCACACAGCCTCAGTATCTGATCCCTCTTCCCTGCCCCTAATCCACCCTGGTGGGATCACACAGTGAGCCCTCACAGATCTGGACTCTGCAAGCAATGTGAAAACCCTGTAGAGCCTCCCCAAACTCTGCAAATTCCTGTATACTGGAACAACAAAAGGGGAAATAAAAGAGTGATGCCTCTTCAGAGAATGTTACAGTCGATCTTGTCGTCTAGAAGTCAAATGTTTCCCTGCCTGACCATGGTGTGTTTAGCATCTCTACAAGACTAGCCAGTCATGCCAGTGTGCATGACAGAGTGCATTGTGATTAATTTTCCTCATTTTACAGACCACTATTATTTTCCCCTGTGAAACATTAGTTTTCTTTGCAGCAAATGCCTCTCTCCATTAATGTACCAGAAAGTCTTCTTGCACAGATGTCTGGCCTTCCTAGTAAGCCTCATCTCTTCATTTTCTCATTCTTCCTAGGTAACAGATCTCTAGGTAGGTGTCACACAACACCTGCCGTTATGGAAGGATCAATTTTTGGCTTTTATTTCATGTAGAGGTAGGCCTCGCCAAATCCTCAGATTGCTATCATATCAAATGCTGCTGATCTTGGGGAAAGCTTGGTTTCAGGTCTGGATCTTGTGGCTTGGATGCATCCCTGTAAAAAGTATGAACTCATATTCAGTTTGGAAATCCCTTACAAAAAAGGTCAAGCAACCACATTAAAAGAGAAGAATGGATTGAAAATATTTGATTAGTCCCATATTCAATGAGCCACTTTTAATAGACTAAAAGTAATTTTATGGTTGAGTCTTTTCTGTTCAAAAGCTTGCAGAGATATCACTGTAGGTAATATATGCATATGCCATTATTAAAGAGGCTGTCAGGACACCTGTAGTAGGAAGAAAAGGGATGAAAACATATATTTGATTTTTATGTATGTTAAAAGATAAGAGGCAGGTTAAAATAATATCTGCAAGAGATTGATGTAAGCTGTGTTTCTTGAGAGAACAGATCTCTCTTGTTATTTAATACATTTTGAGTGCCAAACTGTCAGAAAAAAAATGACAGTGTAAGGTACCCTTGAGGTGCCTTAACAACATAACAGTTATGTACCTGCCAACTGCACCAATATGTCTGCTGAGGTACTGTTCTTGCACTCAATTATTAACTCCAGTACTGACATGAGAAAAAATGAATCCACTTTGTTTCAGACTGTCAGATATGTTGCACTTTCTGGCCTCTAATGTGCGATCTCAATGAAACATACAGAAACTGTTTATCTTTGGCTGTCAATGAAAAGGAGGAGAACATGCCACAACAAGAGGACACTCCATCAGACCCCACCCAATTCCCCAGAAGAGATGCATTTCTGATTGCTGTGATGGAAATATTTCAGAGAACCTTCAGCCACAGGCTTTTCCTAGCTCCTTTTTATTTATTTATTTGTTTTTAATTAGGAAGGGTTGTGGATGACATGTGCCTTACTCCAGTGATCCTTGGATGCTACAACAGCTACTTGGGGCCATTACAGCCTCTCTAAATGAGAGCCCTCCTGAGGCTGCCCTAATTTATGCAGGGATTGAAAGAGCCCCCAGCAGACCGAGGCAGGGAGGAGGAACAAAGTTAGTCTAAAGCTCCCCTTTCCACAGCTGTGGTGAATGGAGCGCTGACACAACTGAGCATCTGAGTTGCCATGACATAAATTGTACTCAACATTTTTCTGATGCTTTCAGTCTACAGTGAAAGAGCCTATTTTCCAGCATAGTTGTCCTCCACATTCTGCTAAGAAATCTTTAGCAGCTAAATAAAGTGTCATCTATGCAAGTGGCACTTTCTGTAGTCTGAAAGCATTTCCCTCAAACAGAAGCCTGAGGGCTTGATTCTCCACAGCTCTGCGCCATAGCGATCAGAAGGCAGCATTGTACACCCATGTTGCACTGGTGTAAATTACCATACAAGGGCAGAGAAGAATTAGGGCCAACTGATTCTTCACTGCTTCTTTCTCCAGCTTCCCCTCACCCCTGCTCTGACTTTGAAATCTCTGATAGTCGGGAGGGTTAATGGAAAAAAGATGAGTTTGAGGGAACTAATCCACCTATTTAAACTTAATTTTAATAGAATATTATATATCTAGGGCCTGATCCACAGTCCACAAAAGTCAATTCCATAAACTTCATTAGATTTTTAATCAGACCCTTAACGATTTTAATTATTACAACTATCAGTACCTCTTACTACAAGATGGTTGGTGACAGAATTTATTTGTCAGTTTTCTGTAATGATTTCTTTTGAGTAAAACGATGGTAACATTATTGTAGCTGTATTCTAACCAATCACTCTGTTTCTTGCTCTCCTAGAATGCACTGTGGACAAAACTTAAACTATGTTAGGTTTTAGTCATAGCCAGAGCAAACAGCGCTTATTGTCTTGCTACTGCAATTTGATTCTTGGGAGCCAACTAGTTTTACTGTCATGGCAATGTGATGATATCAACAAAATGTTGTTATGGAAGTTTGATCAGATAACAGAAAGGATACAGGGCCAGATCCTCACCTCGTGTAAATCTGTATAGTACCATTGAAGTCAATAGCACTATGCAAACTTAAAAGCCAATAAAATGTAGTTTTCTATCAGAGATTGTGTTCGTTCAGAAACTCATATATAAGAAGTGTGGAGAACTCATAGCTAGGCAAGAAAACTGCAGTAGGCTAAACTAAAGGAAGGGAATCTTTTTTTTTTTTTTTTGGCTCTGAATTTATCAAGTCTACAGTTGTTAGTTTTAATCTATATATTTAGAAATCTATTAATTGATTCAGCCTTTAAATAGCTGTGCAATTGGAAATCAGAAAAAAAAATATTCATGTGTAGTTGATTTACAAAAGATTTGTTTTAAAAGGAGGAGAAATGCAGGTCAGATTTTCAGTTTGGCACTGTGTCAGTCGTGCACAGAAACTGAATGGCCTTATTGCACAGTGAACAAGATGCTTCTGTCCACATGACAACAGAGAGAAGCTTCGTGTTTGATTCCTGAACAGTTCTAAACTTGTGCATGCAGGTCCTGCTGCCTTCTTTTTTAAAAAAGTGATTTTTAAGAAAATTATATATATATATATATATATATATATATATAAAAACTTTATTTCCATTTTTGTTTATAGTGAGCAGTTCTTTGATTTGCTTGAAAGGCACCCAAGAATTATTCATTGTTGTGAACTGAAAAAAAAAATACAAAACTGTACAAAATAAATAGTTAATATAAATCTAGCTAGACTTTGCTGTAAAATAAAGCTGCAGGGCTCCACACTCTAAGCCACTTTTACCTCTTAACAGGAGATGCGCCTTTTTGCTGCTAATGTGTGCAAAATGTAGAGAATTGATACAAACAACAACAAAATATCCCCCTACCCCACCCCCCTTCCCATATAGGAAAGTTACTGGCCATTGCATACTTATTTCTCTATTTCTGACAGGAATATTCAAAGCCACCACAGGAGTCACTCATATAAAAGAAATCAAACTCACTAGGTGCACTGATGTATTTACAGTTGATTCTCAGTAGCTTTCAAAATTGCCCTGGCTTATGAGTTGCAACACCAGTGATGTACAACATTTTATAGCAGCAGAACAAGGGAAGATTGTCCAAATTTGAGTAAAACTGTCAGATAGGGAAAGCAGCAGAAAGTTTTGTTGTTGTCTCTTAAATTGTTGGTAATTATATTTATACATATATTTTCCATCCACATACTGTAAAAATGTGATAAATGAAGTCCCATGTAAAAGATACTTAAATATTTGCAGGCATTGGGTGCCTATACAATTAAATATCTTTCATTTTTTTTCTTTTCATTTTTTCTTTTTAACTGATATTTAGTATGACAAAGCTTCATTTCCTTTTGTATTTATTATAAGGATATGGTAAGTGCAGTTGTAGACAATGTTCACATATGTGGTGTATGTACTAATACCTAATCAATACATATTAACCTTTATAACTATATAATCAGGTACTTAAAAAAGTAGTCCAATTAAATTAAGAGAAAAGAAAGAAGTACAAGTAACATAAAAGGTTTATCCTAGGTTAGGTACAGAATGGGCAGTGCCATACAGGCCTTTTAACCTGGCCCCCTAAAGGAATATGGTAATCTTCCTGCCACAGTTCAATCACACAGAGATCATGTTTCACTTGGGGTAAGACATATCGCCTGCAACTTCCCCATGGCTTCCCACAGTGATCCCTGAGTTTTTTGTTAGGATTACTGCTGTGCTTTAGTCCTGATGGATGATACATTATTATAAGGCACTTTTATTTACAATGTTCTTATTTAAAATAGAATTACAGATTTTCTGTCCCAATCCAAAGTAATGTCATTTTATGTTTGCTGTTCCAGGACTTCCAGGTAGTCAGGCTCAGCATGTAAGTTAGCTTTGAGCTCAAAATACTCATTTTTAGTCTGCTCAAGCAACACCCTTCTTGGTCTGGAGTACATTAGTGTCTCCATTAACTTTAGCTCCTCATGTGTTCCAGGATAATGTACTTCCATGTCGGGCTGGAGCTGGACAATATTTTTTCTTAGATACTCAGTGATTCCTAGCTGCTGGAGTTCTCTTTCTTTCTCAAGAATGTTTCTGTATAAAGAGCTGGCATCTTGAAAGGTCAGAAATTCAGCTGATTGGTCTGTACATTTGTACTTGACATTTGAACCTGTGAGAGGAGAATTGTTCTCTCTTTCCAGAAGACTTCTGCAGAGATGTTTGGAATCATTCACATCCTTTTCATTTCCCTCCTCCTGTTGTTCTGTCTGTTTGGGGCTGAAGGATGGACTTCGATAAACTTGAACCATGGGGCTGATCATGCGTTGCTCATAGAGAGTTGGTGCTGGACGCTCAGTTGTATGGTGTGTTGTTTTGTGACCATACATGCTGTACTGGAGATGAACTGGGCTACTGTCCCTCATATGTTCATCTGCCTGTTTCTTTTTGTGTCTTCTCCGCCGATGCAGAACAAGGACAACTATTCCTGCTGCACAAAATACAAGCATAATAAACACAATTAGGAGCCCTAGGATTAAAACAGAAAGTGGGACAGCATCTGTAAGTGATCGAAGAATAGTGATCGCAGTATTGGTTGTTGTAGAAGAAGTTGTCACAACTATAAAGCTAGCATGGGTTGGTAGGGCTTGGCTATTTATTAGTCCTGGGCATAAGACTTCAGTGTTCAGAGATTTCAATTCTTTTTTTGCTAGGTGCCCTGGGGATTTACAGAAAATGTCACCCATCACGATGTTCTTACTCAACTTTTGTATCCACTGCTGCAGCCCAACTGAATCACAAGTACAGTCCCAAGGGTTGTCCTCAAGTTCAATTTGTACAAGCAAATCCAGTTCATCCAAGACAGTGCTCACAGGCAAATGGGTAAACTGGTTTGTTTTGAGGTTTAGCCTGGCTAGTGGCACCCCTGAGAAAACATGCGGTGGTAAAGTTTGAAGAAGGTTGTTGTTTAAATATAACACCTTAAGTTTTATCATCATGTTAAATGTCCCTGGCAAAACTTCCTTGATGGCATTGTATTCAAGATACAAATACTCAAGGTGCTGAAGACCAAGGAAGAGACTCTGACTTAACTTTGTAAGATGATTGCCATTTAGATATAGCTTCTGCAATCTTGTTAGATTCATAAATGATCCTTCTTCAAGGATTTCAATACGATTGTTTCCCAAGTGAAGCATTTCCAGGCTAGCATAGTCCACCAGATCTGATTTCAGCAATGTTTGAATAATGTTTCCAGCTAGAATAAGCTTTCTAGGATTTGGAGGAGGGGGACCTAAATCAGACAAGCTTTCGATATTTCGCTCCTGGCAGTGAATTAGAACTCCTGACAGGATATGGCTGGTGCAGTGACAGGGTACAGGACAGTATATTCCTGGAAGCTGAGTAGCTGGCTTTGTGGCATGAAGCACTAAACCTGGTTCCTTGGTAGGAGCTTTCAGGACAGGGATCACCTTTGCTGGTAGGTGACTATCACTTATAGATGTGGTTACTACCCAGGGCAAGGACCCTGAAGGATCTTCAAGTTCATTTATAGGGTTAGTGGGACAGAGCAATTCTTTTTTTAATCTTCTTAGGATGCTCCCTTTGATAATTGGAGGGCTGTTGCACACAACATCACCTATTATAGACTGGGGAGGCATGTTTTCTAGCCATATCTTCAGCTGCAGTAAGTCACAATTACAGGCCCATTTGTTGTCTTCCAGCTGAAGGTCCAGTATTCGACCAATATGCTCTAAAAAGCCTACATATGGCAGAGTCTGTAACTGGTTTCCACGAAGATCTAAGTGGGTCAATGGCACAAAGCGAAATATATTAGGAGGGAGAAACTCAATGGCATTGTCATTTAAAATAAGAACTTTAAGTCTGTTGAGTTTGCTAAAGGCACTTGCTTCAATCACGGTGATGAAATTGTTGTCTGCTTGAAGAAACTCCAGATTTTCCAGTCCCTGAAAAGTATCCTCTTTAAGTATTTCTAAAGAATTGTGATTGATATGAAGTTGCTTAAGAAGACTGAGACCATTAAAAGCTCCAGGCTCAATATCTGCAATATTATTAAATCCAACATGTAGTGAGATAGCATTGATGAGGCCAGCAAAATCATTCATATGTAACATGGTCAAGCCATTGTTCAGCAGGTTAAGATGGAAAGGCTGTGATGGTGGGACATTTATTTGTGATAACATTTTGATACCTCTTTCTTCACAGTTTATAATCAAGATATCATCCTTTTCTTCACAAGAACACAGATTCTCACAAGATCCTCTCGCTGAAGACAAAGAAGGCTGAGATTGGAGTAAATCCGAGGCAACCACAACTGAACATAACATAAAAATCCAGACCTTCATTGTTGCCAGTAGGTTCTGTAAAATAAAAATGAACTGAGTTTATCATTTCATATTGAAAAAAAATACTTGAAAGTACCCCAAGCTTACCTAAAAAACTTATCCTTAAAAAAAGATATTGTATTCTATCAAATATTTTAATGATTCTTTAAGAAATGCAACACATGATTAGTTCTGACCATTAAATATAGCATGAAGGTCATAACACAGAAGCCCTTCAGTATTTTTAGGTTGCAGCAACACAGCATGCAGGGCTCATGAAAATTATGTTCTTATTTATGGAGTGCCATATACGTACATGGTGCTTTGTAGGCAAACAAACAAGCAAACAAAAAGACAGGTCACTGCCCCAAACTGCTTCCATCAAGGTTAATATAAAATATTATATTTTCACCTTTGATGATGGGCTTGCAGTGCTGCAGTTTTTAGGAACTTGCAAGAGATAGATATTAACAGGCTACATGACTGAACAGAAGTTTCATAATAAAACAATCTCGGTTCGGTTCCAACAATCTATTGTCTATCAAATGTTTATTCAGCCAGCATGTGGAGGGCTTTTTCTTTGCCTGTTTCTGCAAATTATCTGTAAATTGAAATGGAACTTCTTCTGCAATCCTAATACCTCCAAAATTGAGAACAATTAGTGATTTTTCCTTTTGTTTAAATATGTATGTGCTCTGTTTATAGTTTAAATATAGCTGTGGGTAGATGTACATATACACCCTACCCACACATTCATATCTTTAGAGAGATTATACACACGTTTTATACATACATGTATAATATATTTGTGCATTCAATATCTAAACTAAGTTTACTAGCAATAAAAGAACAAGAGTGAAGTACAAATAGAAAGAAATAGGTAGGCAATATACAGTATATTGAATAGGAAATTTTCTTCTTAATAATGAATATCATTCTAAAATGCACAAAGCAAGAGATTTGTCATTAACAATTAGCAATGATGAATGACATCATCTGCAGTGTGTCATTTAAGCTATTATCTTGCAAACGATTGGTCTCAAACTTTAGGATGCATGAGAAATGCATCAGAACTGTCCAACTATTAAATCAGGAACAGAAACTGGTGAACATTATATATTTTCAATTAAGTATCTGTTTTGGCATGGTTCTCACTGAGATGAGATTAGTTTGTTACTGTTCATATGAGGGTTCTGCGTGTTTCTTTTTTCATAGCAAGGTTGTCTAATTACCAAAGAGCAAAGATACTTATTGTTGCATTAGATGAAGTCACGTCTGTTTATAATCTATTATTAAAGGAAATACTTCCACATTTCCAACAAGAAAAGGTTCCTACTCTGAAAAGATTGATTTGAAACACATTATTTCATTCAAGAATCCCCCTTCAGTGCACTATTTCTTCCAGAAGTGAACAATATTGCTTGAAGAAATCTGTGTCATAAAGGTCACTTGATCTTTTTAAGTGAGCTATTGAAACATGCTTTGCAGAGCAGAATGTCATCACACAATTAACCCGCAGAATTGCTGCTTTCTGAGGAAGTTGCAAGAATCTATGTAATTATGTTTATGAACATTCTCAGAATTTGGTCATATATTTTGGCATCCCATCAGCCATGTCTTATTCTTAGATGCATATCTTATTCTTACAGGACTACTCATTTAGGCTTCATTTAGCCTACTAATCTAGACTTCTCTTGCAACTTGATAAGAGGACTTTCACAGGAGGCACTCAGATACTACCCTTGTGAATGCTACTGAAATGCTTATAAATCAGTAAGCACCAGTTTGTGCACATTGAGTAATATCTTACTCCACAGTTGTCCCACAGATTTCAGTGGATAAAGGTGCTTCTCATCATGAGGAAAGGTGACAGAATCTGTCACTAAACTTATTTGATTCATGTATCTTTTTCAGTAGAAACAAAACATGTTTTTTGTTGGATCATAGAGTAGTTCTTGAACATAGTCTATTCTAGTTAACTGGTTTTCTAGTTAACTGGTTAAATGTAACTTACATCGTGTCTGAGCCTCTGGTTTTCCATAAAGTATTGGGAAAGACCCAATATGCAGAAATCTTATTCCAAAGGATTCAGATTAATGCCACCATGATATTGTGTTCAAGAAAACTGTATTCATTCATTCACTAGCATTCTTTTCAGTAACCTAAGGTGAAAAATGAAGCTTCTGGTAACAATTACCTATAACAAACCTATTTTGTTGCTAAGTAGCCTTTATTTTCTGTAACTTGTTTCTGTATCAGGGCACCAGCATAGTTGTGCATTGTATTTAAATTGTAGTTTTTATGAGGGCCCAGAGCAAAATCAAGTGAAATAAATCAAAATACATTAATCTGAAATGCATGTTGCATTTTAATACATATTTAAAAAATCATTTTTTTAAAAAAAATCCAAGACCTCTCATCATTTTTCAAAGATGAAAGTAAGAACATTTGTAACCAATTGGAACACATTCCTATTTTAATCATTAGCATACTTTTGCGGGGAACATTGCAAAAATTCTCTCTCTCTCTCTCTCTCTCTCTCTCTCTCTCTCTTGCTCTCTCTCTCACACACACGCACACAGTAGAAAGACACTGGGAACTTCTACATATTTTGTAAGTATTGGGTGAGAACTGATTGGCATGTCTTTTTAAATGTTCAGTCTGTGCACGCAGGAGCAAGTAAATCTAGCCTTAAATGGGCTCCACTCTTATTTTAAAATAGCAGATGCTTTAATGTAACAGATGATTAACATTGTGTTGAAAAAACTCACAGTAAAGATTGAATATACATTTCATTTTGAAATACTGGACTAATTATTATCCTGTTTCATTTAGTGAAGTGTTATAAGAAATATCAGGTGGTAACTTAGTTTTCATAACTGCTTACTGTAATTGTTCTTTTCACAGTTTTTATTAAAAAAGATTTGTGACTTCCAGAGTCTTTCCTACCAGGCAAATTTGCAGTATATATAGAAGTAGTGAGTTATGAGTCCCTTAAGGCAAATTTGCAATACACTTGAGAAGCAGTGAAATAATAAAATCTTCTTTTAAAAAAAAATAGTGTCTTTTTTATTTGATCTTACTCTTCATACAGATATGTGTAAAGTGAATAGGGAAGTACTCCAAAGCCTCCGGTTAAGAAAGGGGAATGTGCAGTATATAAAACCATTCAAGCCTTCTTGTTAATTCTGGATATAAGCACAGTTGGATGATGTATTTTAAGAGTAACGTCATACTTCAGAAAAACACTTCTTTAATCCATGCTACAGTGCATGCTACAGTCTAAAACTACTCTCTCTTTGCCAGCTGAGCGACTACATGTATTGAAAACTGTTCAGTGAAAAACGTACCCGGAACAGTGCTTGAAATATCAGTGGGTAAATCTGTACAAATTTCTATCATTTAACTGCAAAGTTAACCAAAGTAATACAGAAAAATAAAATCAATTGGTGTGAAAGACCCAGAGAAAAAGTGAGGAAATTCACTTGAGATAATTAGCTAACTGGAAGCTTTCTTACCTGTACAGAAGCAACACTCCCTGACACGATCAATAATGCACAATTGGAGTAGATGTTCAAATGCAATTCAGGTTCTCTTTATAAAAAATGTACACTTTCTTCCAAATTTTCAGTTTGCTGCAAGCTTTTATACAGCTCCAGCTGCCTAAAGTTAAAAGTCCGTGTCAGAAAACAAAGTACAGAGCATTTCACTGGGAAAAAAAATAATACATAAAATCTCTCAGGCAGAGTGCACTGTATACCATCCTGAAAGCAGTTGTCCCTTTTCCTCAATTAAAATTCACAGCATACTTCCCATCTATGCTGACTTTTCTGCATATAGTTAACCATTTGCAAGCTTTTGGATGCAGTAAATAAACAAGATGTTCAGCAGAGCTTAAACTGACCCCTCTTGGTTTGTTAGATTTTTAGATCCAAGCTGCTTCTGCTTCTGTGTTCTCTCTCTTCTTTCTAGTCTTTCTTGTTACCTCAGTTTGTTATTAGTCAGATTGCCAGGGGCTGGGAGGTAGGCGTAAATAAAAAGACTTCTTGGCTTTTGGCTCAGCCTTTAAGCCCTTCCCCTTCCCCATCAGAGAGCTTTAATCTGCCAGTGTCATTTAACACAAGATACAGCTCCACCTTGGGACAGCTCAGCTCCACCTCCTCCTGCAATTTGTCTCACCTCCTCTTTTCCTGTTCTAATTGAACCTTCTGAAAATAAAATCCAGCTAAATCTTCTGTAGATCACTTAAGATCTATTAATGGCTGATTCTGCAAGACAATAAATCTCTACCACAGCTCCTGCAGCTTTTTCTGTTTGCAGACATACAGTAAATGTAAGATCTTTTAGATATGTATTTTAAATGCTGAAAATACCCCCAAACCAAATGCACAAATCCTTGTTTTCCACCCAACAGTAGCTATCATAAGACAAGGGAAAAGCTTATCTTCCTCTGGAACAAAATGCCTGTGATAATGATATGAAGGATTTATAAAAATGTAAAGCTGCACATTAGATCTTTACTCCAGTTCACGCAATGTGGTAGGTTAAATAGTTGAGAGGGGTGTGTGTGTGTATGTGTGTGTGCAGCAAAAAAATGTTCATGGTACATTGGTGTTTATGGTCATAGAGTGATTGCAGCGAGTGCACTTTAAAAATCCCCCCTCTTCTCTAGTGGAGGGAGTTTCAGCTTGATTTTAATTGACTGTTTTCCAGATGTTAGGATAATATATTGGTATTAATGCACATGGTGTTGTATTATTTTTGGCATGAAACAACGTGTTTACAAAAACCGACTCTTTTTCTTTCTTGAAATCAAGCTAATATTGAGATAATATTTACTTTGGGGTTCTAAACAAGTAATTATTAATAACTGTTTATTATGTGGAAGAATGCAAGGATTGTATGTCCCAGAATTGTTATCAGCCAGATTCTGACATCCTTATTCATGCTGAGTATTGCATTACTCTATGAGTAGTCTTGTTGACTTTGTAAGGGCTATTTGTGGAGTCAAATACTATTCTATGTGACTAGGATTATCAGAATCTTGTCCAGTTGTAAGTGTACATTAATTTTAGGTTCAGCATAATTAGTTCTTCATTATTTCATTCCCTATGTATAAAATACTGTTATTTTTTTAAAAAACATTTCAGAATGATTAGAGATAAGAAATAATTCATCACAAATAATGTATTCAATAGACTTTAATCCTTTTTTCTGCTTACAGATATCCACAAGCTGATCTCAGTTTATTCAAATGTATGTCTTACTTGACAACATTTGACAAACATTTTGAGAATCTTATTTAAATCACCAGATTGATTGCAAATGGTTTTCTGTGAATATACTGGGGTTCTTGGCTAGTTATGACTGGTCAAAAAAGTTAAATGATATTCTTTCTGATTTGCACTCCGGGTATGAATACTTGTGCCTAGTATTAACGTTTGCTTTTTGGTTGGTCAAGACAGTAAAACAAATAAAAAATGTTCACAGAAATCAACCACATTAATTTAAAAATTTGGCAGAGTAATCATGGAACTTTTTTGTAGTCTCTCCCGCTTCTAAAATTAATGGGCCAGTTCAGGCGTGTCAGCTGGCTTTATAAAAATATTGCCATTGACTTTTTTTCCCAAAAAACCTTTAAGATTTAATACCTGGTAAGTGATTTTTATTAACTAAGGTCTTGATCCTGCAACTGCTTCTGCATGGACAGACCCCTGAACTTATGTGCGGACAAGGTCCAATAATGTATTCATTGCAGTGAAATTCAAGTATTTCCTTATGTCTCTGTTATCTAGTAATCAAAGAAAATAATTACAACTAATGTGACTAGTGATCCTGCACTCGGGTATATGTCGATGAACTCCCACATCCATACAGAAGTCCATTGGGTCTTCAGTGGGACTCCATGCAGTTGCAAATATCTGACCATATAGCTCCAACCACAGGACAGCATCTGTACACCTAATTTTAAATTATATAATTGAAGCTAACAAAAGGTCTAAATAAGAAAGGACAAAATCGATTGCTTTGCAAGAAAAAATTACCAGTCCAAGGAAATTTAATTTTTAAAGCACCTAATTGCAAAATGTAATTGAGAGATGTTCTCCCTAAACAGGGCTGCTCTTCAAACATTCACCTTATCAATCACTTTCACTGTTCTAAAGTTTGTGAAGCTGCACTAAAATATCCACAACTGTCAGCCTCATTTATTTCCCAAAGGACCTAAAGGTTTTATGGCACTCATTGTTCTTTACCTTTTCACAAAGTACAGTATCTTCTCCCAAGAGTGGCAGGTTTGTAGAAATTTTGGTGGTGCCCAGAACCCGCCCCCTAAACTCTGCCACCCCCACCTGCCTAAGGCTCTGGGAGGGAGTTTGGGTGGCAGGAGGAGGTTTGGGGTGCAGGCCCTGGGCTGGGGCAGGGGATAGGGGTGCAGGAGGGGTGCAGGGTGCAGGCTCTGGGAGGGAGTTTGGGTGCAGAAGAGGTGAGAAATTGGGCTCTGGGAAGGAGTTTGGGTGGGGGAAAGAGCCTGGGGTGCAGGCTCTGGGATGGAGTTTGGGTGTAGGAGGAGGCTCCGTGCTGGGCAGTGGGTAGGGGTGCAGGAGGGAGTGGGGGTGCAGGCTCTGGGATGGAGTTTGGGTGCAGGCTCTGGGCTGGGGCAAGGGGTGGGATGCAAGAGGGGGTGAGGGGTGCAGGCTCTGGGAGGGAGTTTGGGGGCAGAAGAGGATGTGTGGGAAGGGGTGGGGGTGCAGGCTCTGGGACAGAGTTTGGGGATGGGAGGGGGTCTGGAGGAAGGGGGTGCAGGCTCTGGGAGGGAGTTTGGGGGTGGGACAGTGTGCGGAGGGAGGGAGTGCAGGGGTGAGGGCTGTGGGGCTGGGGATGAAGGGTTTGGGGTGTGGGGTGAGGGCTGTGGGGTGGGGCTGGGGATGAGGGGTTCATGATGGAGGATGGGGCTCAGGGCTGGGGCACAGGGTTAGGGTGAAGGAGGATGAGGGCTCTGGCTGGGGCTGGGGATGAGGAGTTTGGGGTTTTGGAGAGGCTCAGGGCTAGGGCAGAGGGTTGGGGAGTGTGTGGGGGGGTGAGGGCTCTGGCTGGGGGTACAGGCTCTGGGGTGGAGCAGAGCTGGGGATGAGTTTGGGGTGCAGGCAGGCTTCCGTGGGTGTGGAACCAGAGAGGAGGACTCCCCTCAGCCCTCTCCCCACCAGCAGCAGTGAGCTCCGGGTGAGGGTTCCCCTTTCATAGAATCATAGAATATCAGGGTTGGAAGGGACCTCAGGAGGTCATCTAGTCCAACCCCCTGCTCAAAGCAGGACCAATCCCCAATTAAATCATCCCAGACAGGGCTTTGTCAAGCCTGACCTTAAAAACTTCTAAGGAAGGAGATTCTACCACCTCCCTAGGTAACGCATTCCAGTGTTTCACCACCCTCCTAGTGAAAAAGTTTTTCCTAATATCCAACCTAAACCTCCCCCACTGCAACTTGAGACCATTACTCCTTGTCCTCTCCTCTTCTACCACTGAGAATAGTCTAGAACCATCCTCTCTGGAACCACCTCTCAGGTAGTTGAAAGCAGCTATCAAATCCCCCCACATTCTTCTCTTCTACAGACTAAACAATCCCAGTTCCCTCAGCCTCTCCTCATAAGTCATGTGTTCCAGACCCCTAATCATTTTTGTTGCCCTTCGCTGGACTCTCTCCAATTTATCTACATCCTTCTTGTAGTGTGGGTCCCAAAACTGGACACAGTACTCCAGATGAGGCCTCACCAATGTCGAATAGAGGGGGATGATCACGTCCCTCGATCTGCTCGCTATCCCCCTACTTATACATCCCAAAATGCCATTGGCCTTCTTGGCAACAAGGGCACACTGCTGACTCATATCCAGCTTCTCGTCCACTGTCACCCCTAGGTCCTTTTCCACAGAACTGCTGCCTAGCCATTCGGTCCCTAGTCTGTAGCTGTGCATTGGGTTCTTCCGTCCTAAGTGCAGGACCCTGCACTTATCCTTATTTCCCCCCCTCTCCCCTCCGGCAGCACACTCACCCCGAACCACTGTCACTGCATGTGCTCCTAAGGCCCCTCTCAGGTCCAGAAAGCCCCTCGCCTCCTCTGTGGTGGGTGCGGGGGGTGGGATGCTGCCATCATGTGTGTGCCCCCTCCCCTGCTGCTGCCCCTCACTGTAGCCTCACGGGGGGTGAGGGATGGGGCTGCCCCTTGCCCAGTGTGGGGCAGGAGAGGTGACTGTGGGCTGGGGGGCCCCCTGTGCTGGTGGAGTGTCCTGTCGGAAAAGTGAAGGGTCCGAGGCAGAAGGGCAGGGGCAGGGTCAGCCTGCCCTGTCACTAGTGGAAGGGGAGCACTAGGACCCTGTGGTGGCAATTGATGCCCAGAGCCAGAAGAGCGGAGGCAGCATGGAGCTGCAGGGGAGAGGCAGGGATGCTCCAGGGTCCTGGGGGAGGTGCACGGGGGCAGCAAGTGGGGCCGGGACACACTCGGAGGAGGTGCGGGGCGGGGGAGCAGGCAGGGCTGGGGGAGAGACCTGGCCCCAAACATTGGTGGAACTGGGCCCCGGGCCCTGAATATTGCTGGAGCCCATACAACGTGCCTCCCCTGACTTCTCCATATTAGAAATAAGCACACAGTATCCTTCTTACCATACATACATTCTATGTATTTTTTTCCAGGGCCAGAGAATTCTCTGCATTATTATATGTACACATAAATATGTAAATGATAATACCTGTAGAGATCCAACTTCAATCCATGAAAACAGGGATATCCAGAATTAAGGCCTTGTGTTTCATTCTTTACCCAGTTGTTGTGAATCATTCTTTGTTATATCATATCTTGTATGTGACATTGCACATTGACAACTGCTAGATTTAGGCATTTCATATAAGTTTAAGAAAAAAATTACTTGACTCTGAATTGCATGATTTGTAAATTTCAATATAATCAAAATATGGCAGAAGTTCACCTGGCATTCTCTATTTCCCTCTTAATTCTGTGTTACTTAATGGTACCCTCACTCCAATTTCACAAAGATTGGAAGTTTCTCCTTTGAAG